TGCTGGGGGGTTGTGCTGGAGTGTTGTGCTAGGGAGGGTTGTGCTGGGGAGGGGTGTGTTGGGGTCGTGCTCGGGGGTTGTGCTGGGGGGTTGTGCCCCTGGGATGGTGTGCTGGGGCGGGTGTGCTGGTGAAGGTTTGTGCTGGGAGGGTTGTGCTGGGAGGGTTGTGCTGGGGGGGTTGCGCTGGGTGGTTGTGCTGGCGGTTGTGCTCGGATGGTGGTGCTGGAGGTTTTGTGCTGGGAGGCCGGTCGTGCTGGTATGGTTGTGCTGGGAGAGTCGCGCCTGGCTGGGAAGGGTTGCGCTGGGAAGTTGTGGCTGGGAGGTTGTGCTCAGGGGGTGGGTGGGGAGGTTTGTGCTGTGGGAGGGGTTTGTGCTGGGGGGTCCGTGCTGGGTGGGTGGTGCTGGGGAGTGGTGCCGGGGAGAGTTGTGCTGGGGAGGGTTGTGCTAGGAAGGGTTGTGCTGGGGATCGTGCTGGGGGGTTGTGCTGGCGGGTTGTGCTGGTGGAATGTGCTGGGGAGGGTTGTGCTGCGGGGGGGTTGTGCTGGGGAGTGTCGTGCTGGGCTGGGGAGGATTGCGCTGGGGAGGTTGTGTAAATGTGCTTTGGGGGTTGTGCTGGGGGGTGTGCTGGGGAGGGGTTGTGCTGGAGGGTGGTCTGGGAGGGTTGTGCGCTGGGGAAGGTTGTGCTGTGGGGGGTGGGTGCGGTGGTTGCGCTGGGTGGCTGTGCTGGGGGGTTGTGCATTGTGCTGGGGGTTTGTGCTGGAGGGTTGTGCTGGGGAGGATTGTGCTGAGGAGGGTCGTGCTGGGGGGTGGTGCTGGGGGGGTTGTGCTGGGGGTTGTGCTGGGGGGCTGCGCTGGGGGGTTGTGCAGGGGAGGGTCGTGCTAGAGGGTTGTGCTTGCGAGGGAGGGGTTGTGCTGGGGAGGGTCGTGCTGGGGGGTTGTGCTGGGGGGTTGTGCTGGGGAATTGTGCTGGGGGCTGTGCTGGGGGTTTGTGCTGGGGGTTGGGCTGGGGAAAGTTGTGCTGGGGGGTTGTGCTGGGGGGTTGTGCTGGGGAGGGTTGTGCTGGAGGGTTGTGCTGGGGAGGGTTGTGCTGGGGGGTTGAGCTGGGGAGGGTTGTGCTGGGGGGCCGTGCTGGGGGGTGTTCAGAACTGTGCTAGGGGGTCGTGCTGGGAGTTTGTGCTGAGGGGTGCTGGTGCTTCGGGATTGTGCAGGGTGGTGGTGCTGGGGGGGTGACCCCCCAGCAAAACAAAACGCAAACAAAACAAGCGGCGCCTGCCCACGAGAAAACAAAACGCCCAACAAAACATGCGGCACGCGCCTGTGCCAGAACAGAACGGCCAACAAAACGGCAGCCCGGTGGCGAAAACGCATGGGCGCGACGGCCGCCGGCGTTCAGAGCATGTGAAAACGTATTTCGAACCGCGTTCACTGCAAAAAACGAGAACATATTGAAAAAGTAGGAAAACACCGTTTAGGCCGAGCCCTGGGTAGTAGTAGAAATAGTAGTAGTAGTAGTAGTAGTAGTAGTAGTAGTAGTAGTAGTAGTAGTAGTAGTAGTAGTAGTAGTAGTAGTAGTAGTAGTAGTTATAGTAGTAGTAGTATTAGTAGTAGTAGTAGTAGTAGTAGTAGTAGTAGTAGTAGTAGTAGTAGTAGTAGTAGTAGTATCAGTAGTAGTAGTAGTAGTAGTAGTAGAAGTAGACGTAGTAGAAGTAGTAGTAATAATATTAGTAATAGTAGTAGTAGTCGTAGAAGCAGTAGTAGTAGTAGTAACAGTAGTAGTCGTAGTTGTTGTAGTAGTAGTCGAAGTAGTAGTAGTACTAGTAGTAGTAGTAGTAGTGGTAGTAGTGGTCCGCAATAGTAAAAACTACTTTGGGAGCAGTCATAGTCTTAGTAGTAGAAAACTATAAACAGTCGCAGTCGTCACCATAGTCGTCCGTATTAGCAATAGTAAATCAGAGCAGTCAGCAGTTAGTAGTCGTAGTAGTAGTAGCAGTAGTAGTAGTAGTAGCAGTAGTAGTAGTAGTAGTAGTAGTAGTAGTAGTAGTAGTAGTACTGATAGTACTAGTAGTAGTGATAGTAGTAGTAGTAGTAGTAGTAGTAGTAGTAGTAGTAGTAGTAGTAGTAGTAGTAGTAGTAGTAGTAGTAGTCGTAGTAGTAAAAGTAACGGTGCTAGTCCTAGTAGTAGTAGTAGTAGTAGTAGTAGTAGTAGTAGTAGTAGTAGTAGTAGTAGTAGTACGTAGTAGAAGTAGTAGTTAGTGATAACTTAATGTAATTTAGTATTAGTACTGATAGTGACGTAGTACCCGAACAGTATATTAGTCATAATAATAAGTAAGTAAGAGTCGTAGAAGCAGTAGTAGTCAATAGCCTTAGTAGTAGCATAAGTAGTGGTAGTAGTAGTAGTCGTCGTCGTAGTAGGAGTAGTAGTAGTAGTAGTAGTAGTAGTAGTAGTAGTAGTAGTAGTAGTAGTAGTAGTAGTAGTAGTAGTAGTAGTAGTCGTAGTAACAGTAGTAGTAGCAAGAGTAGTAGTAATAGTAGTAGTAGTCGTCGTCGTAGTCGTCGTAGTAGTAGTAGTAGTAGTAGTAGTAGAAGTAGTAGTAGTAGTAGTAGTAGTAGTAGTAGTAGTAGTGGTAGTAGTAGTAGGAGTAGTAGTAGTAGTAATAGTAGCAGTACTCGTGGTGGTAGTAGCAGTAGTAATATCGTTAATCGTCGTAACAGTAGTAGTAGTAGTCGTCGTAGTCGTAGTAGAAAGTAGTGGTAGTAGTGGTAGTAGTAGTAGTAGTAGTAGTAGTCGTAGTAGTAGTAGTAGTAGTAACAGTAGTAGTAGTAGTAGTAGTAGTAGTAGTAGTAGTAGTAGTAGTAGTACTTGTGGTGAACATAGTAGAAGTACTAGTACTAGTACTAGTACTGGTACTGGTACTGGTACTAGTAGTAGTAGTAGTAGTAGTAGTAGTAGTAGTAGTAGTAGCAGTAGTAGTAGTAGTAGTAGCATGAGTGATAGTAGTAGAGGTAGTAGTAGCCGTAATCTTAGTAGTAGTTGTGGTAGTTGCGGTAGTAGTAGTAATAGTAGTAGCAGTGTAGTGGTAGTGGTAGTGGTAGTGGTAGTGGTGGTGGTAGTGGTAGTGAAAGTAGTAGCAGTAGTAGTAGAAGTAGTAGTAGCAGTAGTAGTAGTAGTGATAGTAAAAGTAGTAGTAGTAGCAGTAGCAGTAGTAGTAGTAGTAGTAGTAGTAGTAGTAGTAATAGTGGTAGTGGTCGAAGTAGTAGTAGTAGTAATAGTAGTAGTCGCAGTAGTAGTAGTAGTAGTAGTAGGAGGAGTAGTAGTAGTAGTCATAGAAGTGGCAGTAGTAGTAGTAGTAGTAGTAGTAGTAGTAGTAGTAGTAGTGGTAGTAGTAGTAGTAGTAGTAGTAGTAGTAGCAGTGGCAGTAGCAGTAGCAGTAGTAGTAGTAATAAGAATAGTAGTAGTAGTGGTAGTAGTACTCGCATGCGCAAGGGTATGCATTCGTGTTCGAAGTAGTATGGACAGGAACATGTGTATTCATAGTGCGGCGAGAGCCAGGATGCATAATGACATTCTTCTGACTCTTCTTCATATAATTTGATATAATTATTGTATTCCTAGTATTCGTATGATTCGTATTAGTGTTCTGTGTACTACTACTCCTACGACTACTACTGCTACTACTACTACTACTACTACTACTAGTAGTACTAGTACTCGTACTAGTACTACAACTACTACTACTACTACTACTACTACTACTGCTACTACTACTACTACTACTACTACTACTACGACTCATATTACTACGACTACTACTACTACTACTACTACTACTACTACTACTACTACTAACTACGACTACTACTATTACTACTACTACTACGACTACGACTAACTACTACTACCCACTAACTACTACGAATACTGCTACTACTACTACTCTGCTCCTACTCCTACTACGACGACGACTACTACTACGAACACTATCTACTACTAACTTCTACTACTACTACTACTACTACTACTACTACTACTACTACTACTAGCTACTACTACTACCTACTACTACTACTACTACTAACTACGACTACGATTACACTACGACTGCTACTGCGACTACTCCGACCACTACAACTCTACTACTACTACTAACTACGACTAACTACTATTACTAACTACGGCGACGACGCCGAACTACGACGACGACTACGACTACTTCTACCTACTACCACGACTAATATACGACGACGACGGACGATGACGAACTACGACTACGCTACGACTACGACTACGAGACGACTACTACTAGTGCGACACGACTACGACTACGACTACACTACGACTACGACTACGAACTACGAACTACGACTACGACTACGACTACCGACTACGACTTATAACGACTACGACTAACGACTACGACTACTACTACGACTACTACTACTACTACTCCTACTACTACTATTATTAACTATTACTACTGCTACCATACTACTACTAATAACTACTACTACTACTCTACTACACTAACTACGACTACTACTACTACTACTACTACTACTACTCCTACTGCTACTACGACTGACGAAACCTACGCTACGAACTACTACTATGCTACTACTACTACTACTATACTACTACTACTATCTACTACTACGACTACTACTACAACTACTACTACTACTATACTACTACCTCTACTACTACTACTACTACTACTGTACTACTCCTACTCCTACTCCTACTCCTACTACTACTCATACTACTACTAACTGCTACTACTACTACGACTACTACGACTACTACGACTACTACGACTACTACTACTACGACTACGACTACGACTACTACTACTACTACTACTACTACTACTACTACTACTACTACTACTACTACTACGACTATTGCTATTAGTATTATTGTTCTTCTTCTTCTTCTTATTATTATTATTAGTAGTATTAATCATATTATTATTATCATTATCAATACTACTATTGAAATCCTCGATGGGCGAGTTGGGGCGCAGGGTTGCGCCCTGGTGGACGAGCCGGACGTCTGGGGACAGGTTCCCCCTCAGGTCGCGCTTGGCCCACACCTTCCCGCGGGGCCCGACGAGGAACCCGCGCTGGGGATCAGCCTGCTCGATGCGCGCAATGAGGTGCTCCACGGTCTCCTCGGGGGAGACATTCGTGAGGCCGATCGTCCTGCCGTCGGCCAGCAGGACCTGCACGTCTATCTCTCGCCGGGCGCCGTGGCCTGGGCCGACCTCGGAGGAGGGCCGGCCGAGACTCGGGCGCGAAGTGGTGGGGGGGGCGATGAATGAGGGGGGGAAGAGAGGTGCCTTTGACGGGCCCTGAGTGCCCCCTGGGGCCCCAAAGGGCCCCTGCAGGGGCCCCTTGCCGGCAGCCCTCGCTGCCCCCCCCCCCTTGATCGCCCACCCCACTCCACGCGAGGCTGCAGGAGACAACGGCGGCTCGCCCGCCGGGCCCGACCCTCGAAGGCAACAGATCAGGACGGATCCCTCCAGGGGTCCGCCTCTGGCCCTCTTCTGTGCTTGAGGCGGATCCAGCCACGTGGCGAGGCGGAGCGGCCCCGAGGAGGACCCCAGGAGGACATGGCCCTCCTCCTCCTCCTCCTCCTCCTCCTCCTCCTCCTCCTCCTCCTTCTCCTCCTCCTCCTCCTCCGCCCCCTCCCCAAACATCCGCCGACCGGATGCTTCGAGCCGCGCCCCCAGAGCTCCCGGGGCCCCTGCCCCGGGCGTCGCTTCTCGCCCCGCACCCCGGTCCTGCTGGTCCTGGGGCCCGGAAGCGGGCGCCGGGGACCGCAATCGACGAGAAACGCCGGGATGGACCCAGACCCCCTCGAGCAATGAAAAAATCATGACATATGACGGAAGGTTTTCCTTCATTTTCGGCCTCCGGGGGCCCTCACCGGGCCTCTGGAGCGTCAAAAAACGACTCAGGATGCAAAGCCGGTCATGGGGAAAGGGTCCAGACCTCTGGGGGTCGACGTAATGAAAAAATCATTACGTCGGGGGTCTGGGGAGAAAGTCAGATCGTCGCAAGTCTGGGTCCGGTGACCGCGAGGCTCCCCTCGCCGTCGTGCTGCGACGTCAGCGAGCAGCGCTCGGGCAGCCTGCGGCCGCGCCCAGCACGGGCGCTCGCGGGGCTGCGGCTCCCGAGCTCGGGCTCGCCGCCAGCTGCTGCAGAAGAGGAGAACTCGGCACGAGCCCACATACTTTCGGAGGCCCTGGCGGATTCCTCGGATCGTGGGAGGGGCTCGATGTATACACCACGTCGTTTGGTCGGCCAGGAAGCTCGGTGCATGTACGCCCCAGCTGCCCAAGCTGTCCGACACTGGGGCGCCTGTACACCGAATTCACTCGCCGAATGAGTTGGCCCCTTGGCCGACCCAAGAGGCCCCCGGATGCCCCCAAGAGGCCCCCAAGAGGCCCCCAAGAGGCTTCAAGACTGCCTCCCAGAGGCACCCGCGAGCCTCCCACGAGGTTCCAAAGAACATCCACCAGGCTTGTAGCCCATAATCTGGGCACAGTGGCGGGGCTTGCCGTAATTAGGCAGCTGGACTAGTGGGCTCCTCGGCCGACCAAAGGCGTGGCTGAGTATCGTTTAACCGATCCCCATCCCCAGCGGCGTGGCCTGGGCCCCACTGGCCGATTGAACCCCGTAGACGGGGATACAGGGGCCCCCCGAATAGTCCGGGGCGGTCCCGACAGCCCAACTCTGCTGGGGCGCGGAGCGCCCCAGGGGCGCCGCCGGAAGAGGGCGCCAGACTGCTCGGGGGGCCTGTTTGAGTGGGAACCGCCAAATGTGAGGACACCTGCCTTTGGAAGTGGCTCTCCACCCCGCAACGGCGCTATGTTCTGATTTTCTTTCCACGAGCTCCTCGAACAGAAGAAACGAGTTCCTGGCCATCGCTCGGACGTCCATTCCCTGTGCCTTTTCCCGGTCTCGTGCGCGGCTTTTTCGCCACAAATGATCAAGGAGGCTCCTCGACAGGGTCCTCGCCGAAGGAACAGGTGCGCACGTCCGAGCGACGCCAAGGTTCCTTGGGACCCCTTGTGGGGGGGGGCCCGAGGAGGCCAGCCAGCGCTGCCCGGGAGCGCAGCCAGCGCTGCCCGGCCCCACCCGAGCCTCACCACCGGAGGCCCACGGGCAGCGCGAGCCAACGAGGTCTGCGCCAGCTTGGGAGCTACATGGGATGGTCTAAAACATGGGATTGTTTGATACATGAAAAATTAGGAATAAATTGATGCAGGAACTCCTCGTTGTTTTTGATACGGACTCCCTGCATGTTCAATACACGATCCGCACGCGGAGCATGTATAAAAAACGGCACTGTACCAGACCACCCCGACCGAACCCGAAAACCCAGAGTTCTGGCTTGCGGAAGTACGGGTTCCCCATGTATTTTTTCGATGCTCCCCGCCCCCCCCACTGGAAATCGAAGGTAAGCCTGGGCCTTCGGTTTGGGTTGAGGTGGTTTGGAGGGTTTGGAGGGTGGTGGCTACAGCGGTCAGAGTTGGGTTTCGCTGAAAGGCCAGGCTCCGCCGATACATCGCGATGCATCGGCGATGCATCGTCGACGTCGTCGATGTATCGGCGCCGTCGACGTGGAGAAAATCGGACTCCGCATCGAGCCGCGTCGTCGATGCATCGGCGATGCGGCACGATCCTCCGACCCCAGCTGCTCCGACTCCATCTAGGAGGCCTAGAGTCAAGGGCTCCCAACTTCGCGCTTCGCGCTGCGAGAGGTGCGAGAATGCCTTCGCGCTCTCCCGCGCCGCCTCCCAGGGGGAGAAGAGGAGAGGTCGTGGAGGACTCGAAGCCGAAGCGCGAAGCGCGAAGCGCGAATAAACAACTCCGCGCGCCCTCGAGGGCGCCCCTCCCTGAGATCCGACGTTGCACAAAAATTGCAACATCGCAAAAGTCACGCCTGGAGACCCGGACCTCATTTTCCCGCGCCATTTGTCGAGCCCGATCGATCCGCGAGGGTCCCGGGGCCCGAAATCGAGCGAAAACGCCCGTTGCCAAAAAAATTGCAACGCCCGGATCTCAGGGCCTGCAGAGTCTTGCGGGGCCTCCGTGCCGCGCTCCGCTCTTCGAGGCTGGGCCCCGCGGCGAGCTCGCGGGCGGCGCGGCCGCCGGGCGCGCCGCCGCCGGCGGCGCCACGGGCCACGGGCGGCGCATGCCGCCGCGGAGGGCGCCCCCGCCGCAAGGGCGCCGCGAGACGCCCTGGCCACGAGGGGCGCGCGCGCGCGGTCGCTCGGGCGCAGCTCCTCCGTCTCCTCCTCCTCCTCCTCCTCCTCCCTCTTCCTCCGCCTCCTCCTTCCTCCTTCCTCCTCCTCCTCCTCCTCCTCCTCCTCCTCCTCCTCCTCCTCCTGCGCACGCAGTAGGCGCTCATGACATCCCCACGAGCCCCAACGGAGCAAAACGCCTCCGCAGAACAAAAACCTCGAGAGAGCACCCATCAGGACGACCTTTTTGTCACCCCCGACTGGGGGCGCCATCCAGTCGAGGGGCCAGCGGCAGGGTGCTCTCTCCGAGGGCGGCCTGGGTCCAAGCCCTGACCGCTTCTTTCCAGACTGGCAGGGTTCCAAGCTTCGGTGAGAAGGATCCACTCCTTCCCTTGCTTGTACTTGCCCTGCTCAAGGCCTCGCAGAACTCGGTTGCCCCAGACAGAGGGCACTGGCGCACACGGATCTCGAAACTGCTTCGAAATGGTGACTCCGCCAGCACCGCAGTGGGCACACACCACCCCCCGCCTCCCCCCCGCGAGAGTAAAGGGAAAGGCTCTGTGAGTGGCGTGACCCCCTCTCCTCAAGACCGCGATCGCAACATCGGCCCGACTTTCAACCGACGAGACCACGGGAGGGGGAGGAATTACTTGCAACCTGGGCACATCGGACTTGGGCACCTTGACACGCTTGGACACAGGAGCGTGCTGACAGTCCAGATCGGCCATGGGGGTCCGCACACGCCAACCCAGCGGGTCCAGGCACAAACAAATTTAAACTGACTTTTGAACAGATCTCGATACTGCTGAGAGACTCTGCTGTATTCCGCTGCTTGCTTGGCATCATTGTCAGCCAACGCGTTGCCCGTCTGAGCCCTGGCTGAGAGACGACCAAAGGTGACATCAGAACGAGTGGTGTGCGCCTTAACTTTGTTAAGGCGCAGTGCCTCGAGACCACCTCTGTCATCGATGGCATGCCAGACAAGCTTCCAGATATCGGCCCACGCAGCTTTAGCCGAGCAACAAAACTGCCGCCCCCGCCCCCAAACTCCCTAGAACACAAAATTGGAGTCGGTCCAGAAGACGGCATCGGGAAGGGCCTGCCTGAGGCCCATGCAAAAACGCCCAAAGCTCACGCGCGTCAATGTCGAAATGACCTGCTGGGGGCCCCCCCGCCGCCACCGCGCGCTTCGCTCGAGACATGGGGAGACTCGGGTCGTCGCGCAATGAGTCGATGGCCCAGCCTAGCGAACGCGCAGTGGGCGGGAGCTCGGAATCGAAGAGGCCCCCGTCGAGAAAGCAATCTCCTCCGAGCTCGTCGGGGTTCCCAAAGAGCCAAAGTTCCTCAGGGGGAGTGGGTCGAGGGGGAGGGGGGGCAGGCAGCGGCGCAAGCAGCCTCTCGAGGAGGAGGCGAACGAGAGGGTTGCCTGCTGCTACCACCATGGCCTGCGTGCACGCAGGCGGCTCCTGCTCTAACTCGAGCAAGTCCTGATGGCCAGAGCACCCGACGTGCCTATGCAAGAGGGCCCCTGGGCCTGAGGAGCAGACCTGACACTCTGTTGAGACGACAAGCCGAGCTGATACTGCCTATCTTGCGGCCACTGGCCGCCCGAAACTACACTAACTACATAGGCCTTTTCGCGCGCCCTTAGCTTGGACATACCAGTCTTGATGGGGGCAAGAAAGGAGCCCTGCGCAAACTCAGGCATCCGGAGGTGGCCGGCCACCTTGCTCAAGAGCCAGCTGTCGACAACGGTCTCAAGGGCAGTTTTAACCGTGCGGGGGCACAAGGCTTCAACCGAGAAGACGCCCACGCTGGGATGCTGCCACTCGAGCCCGTTCACCTTGATACCGAGTCGCATTGCCGTGGCGACGGCGGCTGAAAAAGGGGCCTCGAATGGCCTGCCAAGGAGAGCCGTGCTCTCGGAGTTTCTGCCACGCCCCCGCAAGGCCTTGCACCACCACCACCCTAGGCACCCACCCGTCCCAGAGCGAGGTAGCGATAGAGAGGAGAGGAGAGACATTCAGGTTATACGCGGGATCAATGCGTGGAACTCCTGACAACTGCAGCATGAGAGTGATGGAGCGCCCTGCCAACCTCTCCGGCTGCACCGAAGCCTGATGAAAACGAGCCTGCACGACCTCGCGCCCGTTGCTGCCCACCACCCCCGACCCATAGGAGGTGGAGGCCTGGGCGGCAGCACGGGCCATGTTACGCACGCGCCTTTTACACAACTTACTAGACAGACGGAGAATCTGTTTGTGACGCACCTTCGCGGCTGTGAAACGCACAAATTTGGCGTGCCTCTTGATCGCACCTCCTGCAGCATAATCGATTCCAAGATTGCGCTCGCTCTGCACACTGAGCGCACTCTTGGCTTTGAGCGCAAGGGCTAACTGCGCGCGAAGCCGAGGACAGGAGGCGAGCACACGAGACTTAGGTTTGCTAATTGGAAGATGCACGGCGTTCAACTCTTGATGAAGCATACGCGTAGCTTGCACTAGAGTGTCTCGCACCTGCTCCGAGGGTCCAACCTTGTGCAACCCCGAGTCGTCCACCACCACCCCAATCTGAACCTCTCGAGCAGTGCGGAGAGGGAAGGCCGCTTGCAAAGTGTCAAGCGGGGAGAGCAACGCTAACTGCAGCATGAGGGTGGCGAAATGGCAACCAGGAAGCACCGCTTTATCGGTGCAGATGGGGGCCGAGGTGGCCCCAGCATGGTCCAGGACCCGCGGAGCCCGATACAGGCTCACCAACAACCACAACTGCCGAGGGGGAAATCCCGTGGCTCGAGCCGCCTTGAGCAGCTCTCCGCGCCGAACATTCTCAAACGCTTTGTGAAGGTCCAACAGGACCGCGCCTGCAAAAAGGTTGCGTCCCTGAGCCCACTCGGCGACGGCAGCTTGCACCAAGACGAGCCGATCCGACCCCTCCCCCCGAGTCGACCACCAGAACTCCCGAAAGTTCTGCTGCTGCCAATGCCGAATGAGGGGGCGGCGAAGGCGCCCTTGCACACTGGAGGTGGTGTGCATTAAGGCTGCGGGCCTCAAACCGCCTGTGCGCTTCAATATGAAGACTACCCTTGACCACAGCTGTGGCCACTCAGAACTGCTCTCGATGGTGAAGATTAGCTGACGAAAACACTCAAAGGCCCTCGTCTGGAAGCTGGAGCAACTGGCGGGGCGAGACCTGATCGTAGCCAGCACCGCTGCTAGCTCGAAAACTTCTGAGGCGCGCCTTGAGATCGTCCAGATCGAAATCGGGTAACTCGGGGCCCATATCTGAGGGCCACAGAAGCGGATCGGCCAGAGACCCCACCTCCCAGTAAGCCCCCCACTCAGAAACCAAAAGAGCCATCTCCTCCTCCTGACTGGCGGGCACGGGCGGCGGCGAGCCGTCGTGCCTGAAAGTGGGGCTGCTATGCCAGGGGGTGGGAGGCTTCGAGAGATTGAAAAGGGCACCTCCACCTGCACTGCTGTGAGACCTGACCCATCTCTCCCAGCTGGAGTCCCTGTACTGCTCAGCTGCACGCTGATGCTTGGATGAGAGCTGTCTGGCAAGGTTGGCGAGCACCGCCGGGGGCTCCCAGGAAAGCGAGGGGGCAGTCCAGAGCAGAGTCACCCAAGGCTGCGCGCTGGCATCGGTAAACTTACCTCCCTGCCCCGCAAGCTTCTCACACAACGACAGAGTGGTACGACGACACGACGCGGACTGAAACTTGCCGAGCTCTGTAAAGACTTGCGCCACGAGCCTCCACCACGCGGCGAAGGGCGAGAGACGCGGAGAAGGCATGGCTGACGGCTTGCGCGCAACAGCGCGCTGGCGCTGCAAAGGCTTGGCCCTACCCTTGTACAAGCGCGCCTCGTCGCTGCTGATCTGGTAGATGTCGATGAACTCGAGCTCCATGGCCTGCGCGAAGCTCTCCCACAACTCCTGGGTGCCTGCCTCTGCAAGCACTAACTCTGTGACTGGATGCCAATGGGTGTTTTCTCGCCTGGGTCCGCGAGGCCGCTGACGAGGGAACATGCGAGGTACGCGAATGTGGTAGCGTGGGGATTTGTCGCAGCCCCTCGAGACACAGACGTACTGGATAATGCGGCGTGGTGCCGACATCGGTGAGCACGGTCAGCTTGTGACGGTACTGCAGACCCTCCGACACGACGAAGTAGTCCAGCACCCTGCCCGAGCCGCCTGCGCACGTAGCTAGCGAAGTGGAGAGGATGTGTCCAGAGACGGCCTCTACCCAGCCAGAACCCATCAGCTCGTCTGGGCGCAGATTCCAATCTCCAGAGAGAATGAACGGCATACCGAACTGCCTGATGACCGCACCAAGCCTGCGTACACTAC